AATTCCGAAGGACAATGGAAGATGTGAGAACCAGGAGAGGAGCTGACGTAGCTTCAGATCACCTCCTAGTTGTAGCCAATTCAAAACTGAAGCTAAAGGAGAACTGGACAAGTGGACAAACAGCAATACAAAGGTTCAATACAGCCTTCCTTCGAGATACTGACAAACTCAATGAATTCAAGATAGCTCTCAACAACAGGTTCCAAGCCTTACGGGATCTACTGAAAGAAGAAGAAACTACTATGGAGGACAACTGGAAAGGCATCAAGGAAGCATTAACTTCAACGTGTCAAGAGGTTCTGGGTCTAAAGAACTACCATCATAAGGAATGGATCTCTACAGAAACACTGGACAAGATCAAAGAAAGGAAGAACAAGAGGGCAGCAATTAACAACAGCCGAACACGAGCAGAGAAATTTCAAGCACAAGCGGAATACATAGAAGCGAACAAACAAGTGAAGAAGAGCATTAGAGCTGACAAGAAGAAATACGTGGAAGAATTAACAACGACGGCGGAAAAAGCTGCAAGAGAAGGAAATATGAAACAGCTTTACGATACAACGAAGAAACTAGCAGGGAAATACAGTGAACCAGAGAGACCGGTCAAAGACAAAGAAGGCAAGCCAATCACTGAAATTCAACAACAGCGAAACAGATGGGTAGAATACTTCGAGGAACTCCTGAATAGGCCGGCTCCAATGAATCCACCGGACATCGAAGCAGCACACACAGATCTTCCTATAGATGTCAATCCACCAACTACGGAAGAAATTAGAATGGCCGTGAGACAAATCAAGAACGGGAAAGCAGCAGGACCCGACAACATACCAGCTGAAGCACTGAAGTCAGATATCGAATTAACTACAAGCATGCTTCACCTTCTATTCAAAAAGATTTGGGAGGAGGAACAAGTGCCGATGGACTGGAAAGAAGGACACCTCGTCAAGATTCCAAAGAAAGGAGATCTGAGCAAATGTGAAAACTACAGAGGCATAACACTACTGTCAATACCAGGGAAAGTCTTCAACAGAGTGTTGCTGAACCGGATGAAGGATGCAGTAGACGCCCAACTTCGAGATCAACAAGCTGGATTCCGTAAGGATCGGTCGTGCACAGACCAAATTGCAACACTACGGATCATCGTCAAACAATCAGTTGAGTGGAACTCGTCACTATACATCAACTTCATTGATTATGAAAAGGCATTCGACAGTGTAGATAGGAGGACGTTATGGAAACTTCTTCGACACTACGGAATTTCTCAGAAGATTGTCAATATTATCCGGAACTCATACGACGGACTACAGTGCAAAGTAGTGCATGGAGGACAGCTGACAGATGCATTCCAAGTAAGGACCGGAGTCAGACAAGGCTGTTTACTCTCTCCCTTCCTTTTTCTTCTGGTGGTCGACTGGATTATGAAGACCTCAACATCTGAAGGAAAACACGGAATACAATGGACAGCTCAGAATCAATTAGACGATTTGGACTTCGCAGATGACCTAGCCCTCCTATCACGTACACACGAACAGATGCAGATGAAGACAGCCAGTGTAGCAGCAGTCTCTGCATCAGTAGGCCTCAGCATACACAAAGGGAAAACTAAGGTCCTCAAATTCAAAGCGGAGAACAGCAATCCAATCACTCTTGATGGCGAAACTCTGGAAGATGTAGAATCCTTCACATATCTGGGAAGCATCATCGATGAACAAGGAAGCTCAGGTGCAGACGTAAATGCGAGGATCGGCAAAGCAAGGGTCGCATTCCTACAATTGAAGAACATATGGAACTCAAAACAAATGTTAACCACCATCGAAGTCAGAATCATCAATATCAACGTCAAGGCAGTTCTACTGTACGGAGTTGAAACTTGGAGAACTACAACAACCACAATCAAGAGGGTATAAGTATTTATAAATAGCTGTCTACGCAAGATACTCAACATCCATTGGTCGGATACCATCAGCAACAGCCTTTTGTGGGAGATAAAAAACCAGCTTCCAGCTGGAGAAGAAATTAGGAAAAGACAATGTAGATGGATAGGACATACATTACGCAAATCGTCAAACTGCATCACGATGCAAGCCCTAACTTGGAATCCTGAAGGGAAACGGAAAAAAGGAAGACCAAAGAACACATTACGTCGGGAAATAGAAGCAGATATGAAAAACAACTGGAAGAAGTTGGAAAGGATTGCTCAGGACAGGGTTGGATGCAGAATGCTGGTGAGCGGTCTATGCTCCTTCACGAGGAGTAACAGATGCGATCTGATTGATGAACGAACAGTTAACAAGGTGATAATATGACTCAAGTAGAATGGATAGATTGGCTTGTCCGAAAGCTAGAATAAGGTATATGGGCTTAACATAATGACCGACACTACAAAGGACTTGTAATTTCTTTAGACTTGTTCAAGACAGGGTAAATGAGCACAGCAGAATTAACTGTTAACTAGTATCCAAAATACCCTCAGCTTGGCAATTCAGTGAGTATTACTGTCTATCAATTTAATTCCCATATTCACTCGCCCGCCTGAAATATAGGTACCATGAATACACTAGTATTTGACCTTATATCTCTATATTGCATTAAGTTGGATTATCACTAGAATGTATGTGTAACCCCAAATGCCAAGGATGGGGGGGAGTCACCTCTCCTCAAAATGTTCTCACATGGCCACGCGTATACAACTACTGTTAGAGAAGTCCTACCCATTACCTTCTAGCAGTGTGGGTGTTGTTTACGAAATTGAGAGGACGAAAAGCAAATGTTCGGAGCTTTATTCGGTTCGGTGGATATGGAGGATCCACCTAGGGGAGTTGAAAAACCCTGATTCCAAACCGATGGTGCATATTAGCTCCAGGATCCTGAAAGAACAAATGACGTATGAACCTATTGTTGTTCACCGGCTACCATTGGACTGCATCTCCTAATGTTGCTTGTGGATTAGACCTGTGGGTCAAAGGCTCGGGATGTGGCTCCCTAAAAAAACTACCTCTTTCAGTTTGGGCGCGCGGGTAGTATTTTAGCCCCCATATATCGAATCATTTGTGTGGTGCATATGTTTCCGATACCCCCTTGTACCAATATTTATGTATTAAAATAAATAAAAGCCAAAAACCGGTACTAAAAGCCCAAATTCTTAAATTCAATTCCGACAAAATATATAAAGTAACGAAAATATAAGGCAAAGGAATATGTGTACCCTTTACTTCACTTCCAGATATTACGTGAAATTATAGCCGACTTCATGTCTATACGGTAACTTTATGTAATAGATTACGTAGGGTCTGGAAAGGTACTTCATAGAACCTCATACGATAAAAATAAATATTGTTGTTTTGATTATCAAACCCTTAGACATCATTAAAAACTGAGTAAAAACTATGCCATGTTAGACGTACTTTATTGATGTATTTCTAAATAAAAGTTCAACATCAAATTCCCAACGTGGCTGTATACTAGTTTAGTGGTGGATTTATCTGAAGATCGTTTCGCCAACCTTAAAATCTTGACGCGAAATCTAAGTATTGATATTCAAATCATAATACCCGAAACGTTCAAACAAATATATACTGATAAAATGTAGAAAAGCTGTGAGTATTGAAATTCAAAACATTCATTTGACCTATTTTAAGGAAATAAAATTATTGACATATGAAAGTATAAACATATCTCGTGGCTGTCAAGTGCACTGAATTTATGATGGTCGATTTTTACTAATTAGAGTAAGTCAGGCAGTTACTATAACACCTTGGCAACAGCAAACACTTATCTAGTTCTCAAAATGGGCTTCCACCATCTTTAATGTTGCTAAGTAATAGAGAAACAATGGAATCTCACACCTTTTTACTGTCACTTCTCTCTTGTTGGATTCCCTTTTGTATGTTACATTATGTTACTTACTAATATTCAGTAACTAATATCATAATCGGTCATTTTTAGGCAAGAGCATCCAGCAATATTCAGTAGTTGTATGGTATTTACACAGATACGTGTTACGTAATTCATTATGACAACCATATCCGCTTAAGATCATTGAAAGTTGCTTTTACCTTAGTATATTCATTGAACATTTGTTTATCTATAACAGTTTTCGTTTAACACCAGGATTTATACTTTCTACCTCAGTAGTTTAGAACCGATCAATTGAGTATTCCGTTAATAAACACCTGTAATTGTCCTAAACCAATTTTAAAGTCATTAATTATCACCTAGTTCGTGAGTTTACTTTAGTCAGTAAAGTGGATGTAGGTTTAATACAACGGGAAAACCCATAAGTAAGTGTACAAGTTGAGATCCAATCAAATGTAACAGCTCCGATGGATAGATGAAAAACGTTTATTAGTAACATGTCTTAATGTTCAAAACTCGTATAATGTGAGTTACTAGTTTGCTATAGATAACTTAAGGTGTTGGGTCCATGAATGTAATATTGGGAAATTATTAAATTTAATACATCAAGCACAACGATAATCTAACCATTCGTTTAAGTCATGATTGAATATAATATTTAATAACCTTTATGTTCGAATTTTAAAAAAAACAGGTGAGCATCAATGAAGTAGATTTTGGAAATAATTCCAGTATTGAGCGATTTTCAAAGTATATACAAACAATGTTTGTTTATACTAGTTAAGACTGGAGTGGAAAGTAAATTATATTGTTGTCAAGCCAAATAATATTTTTTTGTTTTAGTAATTAAAGATTAGTGAACATCCCATCAGAGATTCATCGTGGAGTTTTTCCAAATAACAGGTACCTCATTTACAAAAAATTATTTAAGGTTAGCAGATGACTAATTGTCAAAACAGTAGCTCTTAATCTGTATATAAAATAATCCACATTCCCAAGATAGATCAGCAAAAAACTAGACTAACGTATCTACAGTTGTAAAGTGACTGTTAAGAATAGTCGACAAAAAAATTCATACTAATTGTGATTCGTTAGCAAGATGTGCCTGTAATCTTGATACTGATATTCCCTGGAGGATTCAAGCCCGTGTCACCCAGCTTCACAGTCAGAGACTTGACATACAGGAAACTGGTCACTACTCAGTGATCAACTAACTGCAAGCGTCCAGAGTTTGATTTCCAAAGAGGCGAACCGATAAACACACAGAGTAAACCGAAGCATCGAGTACGAAATGATCTTGTCTAGCTGATATGTATATACAAAGACAGATATAATTGTCTTTACTTGGAGCTTCTAATTTTTCTCAAATTATTCATTCGATTACATGATTCATACAAAAGTTCTTGACAAACCTGAAAAATAAACTGATCTGAACTCATACAGAAATAAGTTGTAAAATGTTTGCGAACCAATCATAAAAAGCCAAAAAACTTCCAACCTAAAAAGGAACTATGACCCGATTTGGGTTCAGTTATATGGTAAAGGTTTAGACAGAAATACTAGAAGCACAACCTTCAGGAAAGCGCTTATCTTACCCAATAGACAGTAAACACTGAATAATAATATTAAACTAGGACACTAACATATAACAAGGACAATTAGCAACCTTTGGTGGAATCCTCAACAAACTTAACTATGGTCATATAAAAATCAAAGTTCAAGCATTGAAGTCAGAAATATTAAAGAGGAAAGATAGTTTCGGAATAACTAAGCACACAACTGTTCCGTCATCTTGCTCTTCCTCTACCCTTGGAATTCACATAATATACATTGCTTTAAATTGAAGAGAAATCACTTGCATCTACAAAATATATTTTGAAGGTAAAAAAAAACACTATTAGTTAAAAGTCTAATGAAATGACATGAAAAGTATGTTAGCTTTTACTAAAGTCCATATAAAAATGAATATGAAAAGTAACTATTATAATACTACTGAAGAATTAGTCAAACCAATCCAACTATTTCGAAGCCAATTAGTTAATTGTTGTAAACAATTCAAAACATTTGAAAGCTCCAGTTTGAAATCGTGCAGTTCTGTTGAATTTGAAGTTTTTGTCTTACATTTATCATATAAGATTTTAAGATTTTTAAATGATGATTTTACATGAGGAAAATAAACTGATTTATAACCAGTAGTTCCTTGGATGACATTTTTCAAAGATGATTTTTCACATTGACCAGCAGCAACAAAATGTTTAGAAACACCAACAAGTATACGATTGAGATAGGAGGGAAAACTAAAATTCAAGATAAAAATAACGAAAACAATTGTACTGTTTATTAGAAATGGTGCACTGACTTTTTTCAATGGATTGTTTATCACATTATATGGTAAAATCTAACTATTAACCACAATCATTGATGTGACTATTCTTCGTATGATCTCATAATAATAAAAGCACCCCGTTATAATGAAACTGTAGTGAGCGGCTAAAAGAAATAACACATAGTGTATAGACTAATTCAGACAGATACTAAAATCCTACGACCTGAAAGATCCGATTTTTCAAAGGTAAAATTAAATGACACAGGTAAGCAAAATCACAGTTATTTGTTTTTGCGTCGTATAAAACTAATAGAAGCCGCTTTGTAGTCAATTTGACCGTTCTTCGGTTACTCACCAACCATGAAGTCGCTAACAAATATGTTTCGGTCCAATTCTTCAAATATAAAAACAACATGGAGAAAGAAGTAAGGGCACGGAAAATAAAACTAAAAATCAAGATTAGTTCAAAAGAAAACTATCACAGACATCAAATTCAATACAATGATGACAAGAAGATAGTGGATGCAACTCCAGTACTGAGACTCATTTCTCTAAATCACTAAAAAATCAATTAATTAAATCATCTACCGAAACTCGAGAAAATTCCCACACTTCTTGACAACGATGAGATTAACAGTCACTGTTGTCATAGACTTGTACAGCTTTAAACTGATCAGTCCCTTTTTTCAACTAATTACCACATTTGTGTTAGTCAACGCAGCTATTCTGAATGAGCGGTGTGTCACACATGTCTCAACGACATTAGTTGGAAATTATTGATTTAATCAATTGACTTGCCACTGCTAAACAGTATACAAGTTACAGTTTCTTGACTGAAATGCTTTATTAATGCAAACATGAACAGTTCTTAGAAGGAAATATGAAAACTAAGTAGTAACAGGGATATAAAAATCGGGAGACAATTTTGCTAAACATTTTATCTATTCCTAAACCTACCTAGTGCAATTTCTTTCCATAGTATTTGCAAAATCTTCAAAATCTTGAGATGACTTCTTGAACTTCTGGATTTCTTCCAAAACCCAATCTAAGAAAAGAAAAGAAACATGACAAAATCATTTTCATTTAAACAGAAAGAAATTTAGCTAGAAAATCGTTTTCTCTCAAATGGCTTTCCATAAAAGTTTAAAATATTCGGCAAATTATGTAAATTTATACCAATATTTGTCAATATTAGAACGAATAGTTTGACAAAAATTGGGCGTCGAGTATAAAGACATTGTCTGTGAAAATTATATTCGAAACAATCTCAACGATTGAAATTTAAATAATTCCAACGTTTCGTCCAGCAAACGTGTCTGAACTCCTTTAAGGTAATAATCAAAATCAGAATTATCAAAGAATGTATCACGTTCAATAATCAAATCAGATCTATGTTGTGCTTATCCAATCATATTCAGATGGTGGCTTTAGTAAGCAGGATAACATGAGCTAGTTATATGCGAATCATCTGAAAAGTCCACAATGTGAAGGTAAATGAATGAATGATGTGTGTATGTGTAAAGCTATCTGAACTTCAGAAAGCTAAACGTTCAGACATAGTACTCGCAGCAGGTGACTTTAATGCCCAGATAGGTAGTTTAAACCAAACAGAAAGGCATTTGGGTGGGTATTTTAGTATTCTGGCTCAGCCAACAGATAATGGTGACCGTCTGCCGCAACTGTGCTCAGACAATCGTTTATTTTTAGCAAACACAAATTTTAAGCATAAGGAGAGACATCGTCTAACATGGCGACCCCCTACACCAAACCAACGATGGACTCAAATAGACCATATTGCCATGAGTCATCGTTGGAGAGGGTCGGTAGAAGATTGTCGCTCATTCTGGAGTACCTGCTTGGACTCCGACCGCGCCCTAATACGGGCACGCATCTGCTTGCGCCTCGCTGGACGCAAAAAAGCCTCAGCAAAAAGACCCATGAGAACTGAATTAAGTAGCGACAAAACGAAAAGTAGGTTCCAGGAACAACTGAGGTCACAATTAGGTAGTTCTGAAAACGAGGTTGACCCAGATGTTGCTTGGAAAGCTATACAAACAGCAGTGACATCTATCTGTGATTTAAACCACAGGGTTACAAAGAACCAATGGATTTCTTCAAGGTCTATCACACTGATGGATTCTCGTAAACTCATCCCATCAGGCTCTGAACACGATGAAGAGCGACAACAAATCAGATCTAGGTTAAGCAAAAGTCTAAGGAACGACCGTGAGTAGTGGTGGGCAACGAAAACAAAAGAGATTGAAAAGGCAGCGACTATAGGGAACACAAGACAGCTCTACAAACTAATAAAAGAAACTGGAATTAATAAGTAAAGTGTAAGTCAGACTATTTCGGAAAAAGACGACACTTTGATCTGCTCTCAGTCCAGACGTTTAGAACGATAGGCGGAACATTTCAGAGAACAGTTCGACTGGCCTTCAGCTACTCTACAACTACCCTCCATTCCCGGACAGTGTGAATGGAACATTGAAGTAGGTCCCCCAACTCTTGCTGAAGTTCAAAAGGCTATAGTTAATCTGAAACGAGGAAGGGCAGCTGGTCCAGATGGATTGGCTCCAGAGGTCTTTAAGGATGGTGGTCCAATTTTAGCGATTAGGTTGACTAATATTTTAGCTAAGATCTGGGAGTTAGACGTTATCCCATCTAACTGGTCACAATCACTTATCGTCCCAATATATAAGAGAGGGTTAAAATCATCCTGTGATAACCATAGAGGGATTAGTTTAACTAATATAGTATCTAAAATACTAGCCTCGATAATTATCAGACGCTTAACTAAGACTCGTGAACTGATAACACGAGAGAATCAAGCTGGCTTCAGACCTGGCCGTGGTTGCATCGACCACATATTCACCATTCGTCAGGTTCTAGAACATAGGCATACTTACCGGCGTCCGACAATGGTGGTCTTTCTTGACTTAAAAGCAGCATTTGACTTGGTAGATCGCGAGATTCTGTGGCAGTGTCTGTCATTGAAAGGCGTACCTCAGAAGTACATAAACCTTGTGAAAGCTCTTTACTCGAACACTACCAGTCGAGTCAGAGTCAGATCACCGGGTAAGTAATAGTGAGGTTAGACGCAGGGTATTAGGGAATGATGGTAAATCGGTCGATGAGGTTGTGAATCTTCATGGACTGAGATGGTTGGGCCACGTGTTTCGTATGCCTGAACACTGATTACCACGACGTGCAATGCTAACCGGTGTTCGGGATGGTTGGAAGAAAGTTAGGGGCGGCCAAACCAAAACGTGGCATCAGTGCTTGAAGTCACTAACTTGTAGTTTGAGCCATGTTGGTAGATGCAGACTACTTGGTTGGAGTCCGCGTGACTATCGTAACCAATGGTTGGAGACTCTTGGTGACATGGCTCAGAAATCGATCACAATGGCGTCAGTGTATACACTCTCTATCTTCCCTTAAACTAAGAGATTAAAATTGCTTCATATCTTTCTTTATACGAACTAATTCTCTCTTCCTGTACTATATCCTTATTGCAATCTTTCTTTTAGATATTACCACCTCTGAATTAACTACTTTCATGAACCCGGTGTCCATCTTGTTGTGTTAATGAGGTATGGCAACTTGGACCGATGCATATATGTGCCTGGTCTTACGTTGTACCTGACTGACTGACTGACTGTTTGTGTAAGTTCGAGTTATTAGTAGTTGATATTAGGTGTTAATTTGCTTTTATATGAAGCAAAAATAAATGTGCAACTTGAAAGTTGAAACTGCTTCTGAACCGTCGATACGTAAATAAAATGAGAACCATAAAATACATAATTGTAATGCTAAAAGATCCCAATTAATTTCCGTCAGAATAATGATGCATATGAAATAAACAGGTTGGATAGAGATAGGATCCAATTACTTTTGACAATTTATGTAAAGCTGCAATTCCAAAGAAAAAAACACTATAACACCGAACCGATAAGATTTAGGATAGCGGCTCGATCGTTTTTTAAGGAATTCAAAACGCGATGACGGACAACTTGTACATAATGGAACGCTGAGTAAAACCGACCAATAGGAAGTTACTATGAAAAATAAAATTGATGAACATGACAGGACGAAATTAAGCAGTTTTTAAGATGACGAGTGAGTGAATAATTTTTCATAGAAGAATGGTGGGAAACAAATAGAGTTGAAATGAGTATAACCATCATGGATGAATTCTTAAAGTAACTAAAAGCTTCTCCACATTTTAATCAAAAAACTATGTACATAACTATTTGTCAATGTGAATAAGTGTTACTCAAACCCTGTCTTAATTCCTAACCTTTGCCTTACAATGGTTTATAATAATAAACAGTTCACCAACCATGTTAAAACTGTTGGTCCTTCGTGAATAATTTGCTGTTATAATGTGAATTCTGTTGAATCTAAATGCTATTTCTTGATTGGCCAAAATCATCCAAAGTCGGCGTTATACTTTAGCAACGATTGGTTATGAATCATTAGGACTAGAAGACAATCAACTACGCGAATACATATAACGGTTACTGAAAAACGCAGTCATATGGAATAGTAACAGCTCATAACCCAGTCTTCTAAATAATACTGGTTAATAACTAACGTAAAGGTCTGACGCTTTAGGAAAATAAGAATATTGAGCGGAACATGGTTGATTTAGAGCAGGTTTCCGGGTATAAAAATAATCAACGTGAAAAAGCCAACTAAATGAGAGTAGATTCGGTTTATTCAATCGGGAATAGAAATTTTCGAAGCAAACAATTTTCACATTATTTACCGATGATAAGTAAGCTGGACTGAATCCACCAAAAGATGAAATATACCTCATGTAAAAACATTTGAAAAAATAGTTATGGTTAATTACAAAAAGAAAGAACTATTGAAGAAAATCAACAACTTCCAAGGGTTAGGACAATAAATTATTCGGTATATTAAAAATTTACCTAGATTCACATCATATTCTGAAATATTAGGTATTTGATGCGTTACTAACTCCATAAATTTCAACCAATCATCCAATAAACATTGTGAACATCTCAATATCGAAAGTGGCAGACGTGGAGCACATGCAAACTGTATAATAAGCGTTAACATTAAACGCGCAATTAATCTATGTCGAGGGAAGTGACCTGTAAATGGTGAAGCAGGATCAGTAAATCTTTCTACAACATCAATAATATCATAAGCAGTGTGGTAAACTGGTGTATTGTATAAGCCATCGTCCTATAACAAAAAGAAAGAAACGTTAATGGAATAAAATAAAGCATACACTTGTTAAATTATAATTACAGAAAACGCTTAGCTTACAACTAATTACTTTGTAACTTGATTCTATCAATCAAATCAAGATAAAACATTATATCAATCAAAGTGAACTAAGCCATGCATACTGTTCACTTGAAAAACAAATCTCTTTATTAAGCTCTATAGAAATGATGAAGGTTTTAGAGAACCGACAAATATACTCATTCCGAATATCTTATTAACCCAGAATAAATTAACGTCATTGTCCTACGCTGATTAAATCAAATAAACTTCTAATGGAAAAGATGGAGGAATGTTTTGACCCTCAGACTATAATTTTCCGCCTAATATAAACGAGATGAGGATGCAAGGGAAATTAATCTTTTTGAGTTGGCCACGATAACAATTATTAGTGTGACCTTTATAACATAGCTGCCCAATATAACTGCTTACCATAACTTATGAAATTATATGTTGTGGCCTTTACTTAGTTTATCTTTTTGTGAATCGTGAAAGTTTTTTGGAAGGTTTTATCTTCTCTTACCCTATTTTTGTGCAGCTGTCAAGATTGAAGTGTCGCATTTTTCAATTATAAATATACTGACTATTAATAAGTAATACGGTATAATACAAACAAAAAGCAAACAAAGAAAAAAAAGTTGAAAATTTCTACCAACAAATTACTGGGACGATTATATTGAAAAGTTGCAAATACTAAGTAACCTATAATTAACGTGAAAATCAAAAGGGTAGATTATTCTAAATAATTATTCTTCAAATAGTACAATTGGTCGATTAATTGATATTCTATACAAAAACGTCACACTATTAAAGATTTCCCTTTACAGTGTGATCTTGGGTAAGATAACGAGTGAATGCAACTGTGCCACGGCGACTGTGTTTAAACCATGTCACCCAACGTTCCATAACCACTAAACACGGTTATTGATCGGACTCCAACCAGGTCATCTGTTTCTAACAAAATTGCTCATACCAACAGCCAATAACTTCGTGGACTAATGCCACATCATGACTAGGCCGCTCCTAGCTTTCTTCCAAACTGCTTCTACAACAACATTGTCCGTCAAGGTAGACGGAGTTTAGGCATACGTAACACATGTTCTGAACACTTCAGTCGATGAAGACTTACAACCTCACTAATTGATGTGCCACCTTCGTCTAGTATACTATGTTTACCGATGACATTGGTCACAAGGTTATTCAATGATCCTTGAAGAATGTTACGAAGACACAATCATATGTGATATATAACCAATAATTTATTACAACACAATTCATTAAACTACGTTAAAGTTTGTCATTTAGGTTTCAAATCTAATGAATTTATCGATCAGTACAAGAATAGCGTTTAAATGTCAAACAGTAAACAAACTTACTGGTAGAAACTCTGGATATGTTGATGGAATCCCTAAACGATAGGCAAAAGGTATATGATCCGATCCACCACCAAGAGATGTGATTCTAGAAGAACACTGATCAAAATAAATAGTTAGGAGTGTATTTTCAGAATTATAACATCATTTCCATTATAGGTAATATAACAGTTCACAATAATAACAGGAGTAGGAAATATATTATCACTAGTCATGAAAGATAAAAAGTTAGAGGTTATAGAACTAAAACATTGCTTCTGAAACTAATATAAATAAAATGTTAGAAGAGTAAGAAATTAGCGAAACAGGCCATTATTGTTAGTTATGTTCACAAGTGGATGGCTTATATTAGAAGAGAATAACTAGTAAAGAAGTTAAATGAAATTTAGCCAAACCATAAAGTAAACGATCGCCACTGTAACAATGAGACAAAGTTCACGCTTTTCCATGGTTGAGAAACCTTAGTGACTTGGCTTCAAATCGTTTACAGTAGTCTCGACCATTTAAAATATGATCATTCAGCAAGTTTAGAACTGCCACACTACTATATACGTAAATTCTTCTTACATAATTACAGTCAGCTTTTATTAAATATTATTCCAATTTTTTCCGTCTATCATGTGAAACTGAAATTACTGTCATTGCGCAAGTTCTTGTATTGATCAACCAATAAGATTTTATAGCTGAGCTTATTGTAACTAAACCTTATTATTCCATGAATTGTCGAAAAAAATCGCATTTATATTGTAGTGAACAGAACACGAGTGGGGACAGTCGAATGCATTTAACACAAAATTACAGGACTTGTTAATAAAATCTAACAATCATAAAGTAAATGCTTAATTTGCAAAATGTCCATCGATTGTCTCAAAATGACTCAGACTTCAATGTTCATGCATTTTTATACAAATTCTATTTTGTTTCCATTCTTTACTGTTCGATCCTCTTGTCTCTTTGCTTCCAGACCTTCTGTTTACGACTAACATCACATACTACTTATGTCAATATAAGTAGCACATACCACAATAACACGAAACGATCTCACACGTGAATGTGTAACATCAACAGTGATAATGAGACACTCGCTTTACCCATCCTTGGCATAGAAGTTCTAGAATGAACTCAGAATCCAATTTTCGAACCTCGAACCACGTTCGTAGATGACGTTATTTTATAACACCATCTAAGTCAAGAAATAACTTCTATTCCCTAATTGATATATGAAAGTACCAAGCGAAGAACCTCATACGTGAATTTGCTATTTGTTATCATACAATTTTATTTGGTACGATATTAATTTTATATTTTCCACTGTAACATTACTTCAGGTCAATATGTTTGTACCAATAAAGTGAGAATTTCGTTCAGTATGACAGGTGTGAACTTCCGACTAGCATGACAATCATATTTTTAGTAATATTTTATGTATATGTTTTACAGTAAGTCTGTTTATCCTTTAACCCATATGGTGTTTATTGACCAATAAACTATGTAGAATTAGTACATAAATGAGTGTAGCTGGTTAAATGATGTTTATTTAGAGAATCAATAAGGTCACCATTTGCGCCAGCATGCTGTTTTTACTTAGAGCGACGTGGGGATCGCAATCGTTCCCGTCCCCAAATATAAACAGCAGAATAATGGATGCAACAGATTTGACATACACACAACATAACAAAATAGTAACAATGACTATTCAATCGACAGAATACCCTGAAGCCGTTATCAAACACACATAGGATAGAACTTTCTTGTGCCTGAATTACTTTCTACATACAATGAAATTAAAAGAATTTGTTTATTACTTCTCATGTTAAAAAATACCATTGAAACAGAGAAATCTATCCAAACTTACACAGGTTCATTACGATCACTAATTTTATTATTTAACCATTCGTCATAGAATGATTGCATATTTATTGGTGGATCAACTGGAACTAATTTTGCAGCATTTATAAGACTATCAATTAATAAACTATCGGTTCGAGCTGAAAAAGTTTTATGACCTTTAACTGGACAATCTGAATTGATGTAAACAACACATCTAGATAATAGTTCATATTCAGATTTATGTACAAAATGTGTTGAACCCAAGACAGAAAATTCCTCTCCATCCCAAGAACCAAGAATTATCGTACGACGAGGTTTGAAACCTTTTTCAAAAACAGTAATACATGATGTTCACTAAATGAAGACATGCATATATATATATATATATATATATATATATATATATATATATATATATATATATAATCTGTTTCTTAAACTTCATCATATTTTTAGTTTAAAATCTAACGAGAATGAAGTACTGATTTGTAAAATGAACTCTTTTACCCGGAACCATATAAAGTACTGTGGATTGATACGAAATTGTTAGTAATAGTAAGCTGCTTAATAAAAATTGGCCACTGTTACAACTTATAATTGTTGCTGCAATCTACAAAGATATAGACTAATTTGAATCTTGTTGAGGCTAATGTCCTCAATATCTGACTCCAATAAATAATATCCCGTAAACTGAGCATTTAAGGTAGGCTTAATCTCCTAGTAGAATTACAGATTTACTCGAGATTATTGAGAAGCCAGAACACCAGTTGTAGAGATAATTTATTGTTAATGATTAATAAAAATCCGCAAGCGTACAGCAAGCAAGCACACGATGAAACAAAGTGAGTGAGTGTGTGTGTGTGTGTGTGTGTGTGTGTGTGTTAAAAATCCATATATATTTTTGAGAGTTAATCGGATGTGGATAAATTATCGATTATCTGCACATTGCAACCAATAGGAGGATAACTTAAGGGTTAATGTACATACATGCATTCGATCATACACACCGAAATTAACATGGTGAATTAAGAGTCTGAAATGCACACAGAAATTAACACGATGAATTGTCTGAGTTACAATGAGTAGACAAGTGATACAGTGGCCAAATGGGCTTGCCACTATCTCATTAGTATACGTCGTAATGCTAAAAATAAGACTACAAGGACTTTCTGATTTAAATGGTGATACAAAGGGTAATCTAGAAAAATTCATTACTCATGTAGAAAGAATAGAAGCCTTGTAATTTCATTCGCTTTAAACCATGAATTATTAATACAAATCAATTATTTAAATTCCCACAGCCTATCAACGAAACTTTACTATTTTGAGGCGACTGGGTGGGACTTTATTGATCAAACATCATCATCTGCTTTAACACAAAGTTTTTGATGATAAACTAACAATGATTAAGAATTTATATGCAAGAATAGTTATATATCTACATGCATAATACAACAGAAATAAATAATCTTACCGTTACGATAAGCCTCGCCAAGAATTCGAGCGATTTCTTGTAAAATCACCATACCTGATCCTGGATCACAAGCGCCTTGTACCCACGCATCATGATGATTACCCATAATTACATATTGATCAGATTCAGTTGAAGTAGGTGTCATTTCACCCGGCATTATACCCACTACATTACATAACTTTACTGGGTTTTTAGAAACTTGATTATGTACTACAACTTTCAAACAGCTATAATAAAGAGAAATAAACAAACATTAGTATGTACGTTCACTTTTTTAAGCTTTTTAGTCAAGGTTACAGGATGTAACAATCCTACACTATTACACTAAATATTATTAGGAATTGTAAAATACAAAGATATAATTCTACCTAAACCTACATTAACATCAATCTATTTCTTAACAAATCAATATATATATATATATATATATATATATATATATATATATATATATATATAATCTTACTGAAAATACCCAATCGGTAAGCTGAAGAATTGAAAACAATCTCAATTTTTATAAACGAATGCCTAATTTGGAAAATTGACAGTCAGCTAACATTAGGTGACCTAGGCCTGCATAAACAAGAAGCTTAAGGTAATCAAATGAATACATTGAATAGGTAGACGAACATAATTGACAGTCATTTAGATCTGAATATGAATTTACCGGTTGGGGCCAGAAAAATAATAATTCTGGACTTTGGGTAGGACACCTTAAAGTCTGACAGTGGGGCAGATTAATTCGAAATCTATCTCCCACCAAATTACAAACATCCTATGATCTTCGTAAACCAGCTACATCAACTTCTTTTTTCTTATCTCAGCTTTGTAATATGATTGGACAAGCTTGAGAAAAAATGAGAATAAGTCATTACCAAGATCATGGATGGACTGCGTGGAGGAAACCAGATAGGATTAAATAAAAACATAGGCATTCACCGCTAGTAGTAATCCTCTAAATCAAACCACGTTCTATAAAGAACTGTAAATTCAAAACGTGGGATGAAGTCTAAAACGGGAAATATAACTTAATAATCCAGCAGAGGTTTGCTTACTCTGAACCATACTTATGATCCGAGCACTCGAGGTACTAACTAGATGGAAAACAGGGAGAAGTTGAGGTCGGATGTAAAAACGAGAACTGATAGCTGAATGATGTGTCTAAATACACGTCAATATTTAGGGTTTTATAAACTAAACTTTCGACCACGGACCTAGCCACAGAAGTAGTACCACTATTACGCACACTGTAGAATAGTTCGTAATTTATTCAGCATATCCGAATATCCTAACCACAAGTTATAATTTACAAGGTACTATTTCATATTCAATAGTACTGTAAGCCATCAATTAAAATATGTGGAATTACTTTTGGAAAATATCAGTGAGAATGAAATTCTTAGCCATAAAGGTATATGAAAAGAAACAAAATAACATTATATGAATAAAGCATCAACCAAACCTACTCATAGAATTGATAAATTGTTATATGGTTACATTCAACAGTAAGTTAATCGTTTGGATTATCTTGCTGTTTCTCAAAATAGTCAGAAATCATCACTAGCCTTCCTTTCAAATCTAACCACCTATCATTCCATCAAAGTGTTATCACTGAGTTAACTGATACTCTGAGGGACTGAGTATTTGAACAGAGTGAGATAATCAACCACAAGAATAGTAACAAAATCATCACCATGCCTCTAACTGATACAGCATAACATACGCATGAACTACTTGCTTTATAAAGAATACCTTTGAAAGCCAGTTGTCAAACATAGAATTACTTATATAACCTTACGTTTTAGTTGATGGTCCCAAATGAGTCGCCAAACGAGTATCCCAATCATTAGGGATAGTTGGTCCCTCTAAGCTCGATAGAAATATTTTGGCATCATCATAGCCAATAGGTTGAACAGGAATCTGTGTAAGGGCATCACCTTGTACAAGTGTGTCAATTCGATAAATATGGGCTGGAATCAAAAAGACAACATAAAACTAAGGTATGTTTTAAAAGTTCAAAATAGAAATTACGGCAAACAGTCAAGTAATTTAATAAAATGAAAAGATTTTCAAACGTTTAACTAGTTTTATCAACTGAAATGTCAGTAAATAAATTATTCTTTTGATAAAACCTCAGGCCGTTATAATTCACCAACAAATTTAATATATATTGAAGAGCTAAAAAACACAAGAGAATCAAAATTATACGCATAAATTGTATGGGTTGTTCAGTTGGGTGACATTGAAAGTAGTGAAAATGTATTCGCTCTTTATCCTCCCTTAGATTCTTAATTTCATCTCATGTATCTTGATTTCACGAATTCATCCTTTCCTCGTAAATCATACCGCTAATAGCTTTTTGGTACTTTTTTACTACTATCGACGTTACTAATTATGACTACTCTGAAATTTATCTGGATAATTTCATACATTTGTGACAATGTGTTGTGGAAATTCGAACCGACGTACATTTATTCCAGGTTCTGTGTTGTATATGACTGACTGATATACATATTAGATTTTCATGAAAATTCTAATGCCTTTATTATTCGAAAATACATCGAATATCACCAAAGACCCATATTTGAACATATTCCCTAGATAATTCATAGAAGCAACAGACGACAGAACAGCAACTTTCTGTATTGATATATCCACATCAACTTGATTCTGGTCAGAAAATGATAAACTAAGGTTGTTTTGAAGAAATCCCTCAGTCGGTGGGTAAATATCTGAAATGCAAACAAATCCTAAACATTCGAAAATACCAACTCACGAAGTGATGGAAATCCAGCGCAGGTCGGATCACCACCGCCAGCATATTTCATATTCATATGACCAAATACAGGAGCATCCCCTGGTAACCCTTTCCCACTAGGATAAACTAGATCATTTACAGCAAAATCTTGTGGATCAGGATACAGAATAAGAGCGCCAGGATGGTGGTCAGGAAGTGAAGTATTGTTTTGACCACAAGTGCAATGTTCCATTAAATTTTTTAACTTGGATTGTCGAGTTCCGTTGCCCAGTCTGGCAATTACAATGACATTCTTGTTGCATATATGACTAGGTTCACCCTTCTTTCGGCCTTGCAATTTATCAAACAACAACAAATCCTTACGTCTTGCATAGTTCACAAATACAAAATATCCAAACGACTCACCAGAGCATGAATAAGCCTGATAAACAGGTAATTGGTTACTGCAGGAGTTGTCAACAGTTACATTTTGAGAGCATATTTCAGGTTTCGATGGAACAGTAACTATAGATGTAGAAAATTATTTTCCAGAATATTTAGAAAACCAACGTGTTTTATAAAATATTTAAGGAACAGTGAAAAATATTGATAGAAATAGAAACAGGATTATTAGTTTACACTAGTTAAATTTAGTATCCCAACCCAATTAACTAGACTAATCTCAGTCAGTCAGTCAGTAACAACGTAGAACTTCGTACGTACGTACATCAGTTCGGGTTGCCACACCACCTTAGCACAGAGATGCAGTTGTCGCGTCAAATCCCGTAGTGGTAGAGGTAGCAAGAGTATAAGCAGTATTCGGGAAGATTAGGGTTTGGAGATGTTATTTAAAGAGTGTAATCCAGTGAAATAAATTTGGAAAGAAAATAAAGGACATGAAGAATTCAGGTTAGAATTTGAGAGAACACAAAGGGTGGATGCACCTGCGCCATTGCAAACGATTTTGATCCATGTCATTCAGGGTCTCTAATCATCAGTTGCTATCATCTCGTGGTCCCCAACCAGGTAGTCTACACCTACCAACATCACTCAGTCCACTTGTCAGTGACTTCATGGACTTGTGCCATGTTTTGGTTTGGCCGCCCCTAGCTTTCTTCCAACCTACTCCTATACCACTGAAAATAGCACGTCGAGGTAGTCGGTCGTTGGGCATACGTAACACGTGTCCCAGCCATCTCAACTGATGAAGTTTCACTACTTCGTCAATTGATTTTCCACCCTTACTTAATACCCGTTTCCAAACAACTGTTACTTACTCGGTGGTTCCAGGATATACGAGCAGTGTTTCGAAGACACCTATGATCGAATACTAGTAACCTACGGATATCCTCTACTCTTACCGGCCATGTTTCACTGTCATAAAGTAGGAAGGAACGAACTGCTGCGCAGTAAACACGTCCTTTGGTTGATAGACGGATATCTCGCCTACGCCATAAATGACGCAAGTTGGCAAAAGCTAGTCGAGCCTTCTGTATCCGTGCTGAGATTTCGTCACACACCAGACCACAAGGGCTGGTGAGACTTCCAAGATAAGTAAAGCAGTCGACACACTCAACTACTTCACTCCCTATCACTAGTTCGGGTGTCGATGTAACCCAATCCTGAAGCAACATTTTGCATTTTGAGGAAGAGAATCGCATCCCGAACATGCTTGCATTGTTGCTTAGAGTGGTCAGAAGACTCTGCATTTTGTCAGCGTCTTCGCCAAATAAAACTATGTCATCTTCATATTCTAAGTCAACAAGTGAACCTCGTGGTAGAAGTTCAACCCCTGGAAATTTAGATGAGGAGAGTGTTATCTCTAAAAGTATGTCGACCACAAAGTTGAACAAGAATGGGGAGAGTGGACAGCCCTGACGAACACCACTTGAGGTAATCAATTCTGATGACAGTTCGCCATAAACTCTTACTCTACCAGTTGTGTTCGAGTAGAGAGCCTTTATAAGGTTAATGTACTTCTTGGGTACTACTTTCAGTGACAAACACTGCCATAGAACCTTACGATCAACAGAGTCGAATGCCGCCTTAAGGTCGAGAAATACTACGATTGTGGGGCGTCTGAATGTGTGTCTGTGTTCTAGAACCTGACGTAGTGTGAATATCTGATCTATACAACCACGTCCATGCCGAAAACCGGCCTGGTTTTCTCTAATCTGCTCTTCACGAGCTTTGATTAGGCATCGAAGTATTATTGAGGCTAATATTTTAGACACTATATTAGTCAAACTGCTTTCTCTGTGATTGTCACAAGAGGACTTTTGTCATTTCTTATAGACTGGCACAATCAGTGATTGAGACCAGTCAGATGGGATTACGTCCAGTTCCCAAATTCTAGACTAATAATTTGTTTACGTTCATCAGTTTCAGGAAAAATAGATATTGATGAACAAGGATTACTTAATCACAATCGTGCCCAGTGTAGCACACAGTAATACTCCGGTATTGTACTGAAGGTGATCACAAGTAAGGATATCCAATATATTTTTAATGCAAAATTACAGAATATATTGGTAAAATATGAGAACAATACAGTGAATACTTAATTTGCAAATTTCCATCACTTGTCCCACAAATTCTTTATGATTCTTCCACTTTACAAATCCTTTATATTTTCCCTTTTATTCTATTCAACTCGATCCCCTTAGCCTTCTACTGCCAGATTTTCTATTTACGGTTGGTGTTACATACTACTTATGTCGACAGACTTAAAAATACAATATGTGGACGGCTTGGTGTATTCATCATAACATTGAATACAGCAAAATGACGTTAAAGTAATCGGGAAATGCAATTTAATTATGAATTCATGTCTAAAATTGCAGAACAAAAAGTTAACAAAGTACTTAAAACATGTACACTTCCCATACTTAACTTTAAATGTCTTCATTTAACAAATAGAGACAAAACCTGGCTTCCCGAATCACAGTAGAAAAAGCAGAGTTTGAGTCTGCGGTCCAGAAACCGGAATCCTCAAACAACTAAACTACAGCTTTGTCATTTGTATATTACCCTACTAGTATTGTTTTAAACACTATTGTTAACATCTTTTGAGAAAGGTTTTTCTCACATGTTCGCCTGATGAGTATTGGTCACTTTTATATGGTAGTCACGAGTGCTTATTACACTGACGAATGTCTTATACAACCACAAATAACTGTTACTTAAGTACCATTAAGATGAAAACGCTAATCAGATATGATACAAGTTAAAAAGCCAATGGACAATGATTATAGTGGTGTAGGTGACAAGAGATATTATTATTTACTATTATTATTTGATATCATTTTCTTACATAACAAGTTAGTTAACATTTACTCAGTATTATATTTAAAAAACGACCCCATTTTTCGCTTACTAAGACCTGTAAACCGTTGTACATTGTGGTCGTATATTTTACATCCTGAATCAAATAATATATAAATCAAAACTATGAGGGACTCATGAACATTCTTTCTGCATTCTGATTGTACGTCTAAACAAGGAACACAATAGTAGTGTATTCAGCAAGTAGAAATAAATTAACGAAGGTAAAATGATTTGTCACTGATAATGTAGCATATAGTACAATATTTACAACCGACAACTTGTAACAAAGATAACATTATATTTCAACTTTCGATTCCTGTGATTCATCAAATAGAAATGATTTCACAGGGTTTCTAGAACTTAACTAAGTATTATCGTATAGAACATATATTGTTGAGCTATACATTAGGTAACAGCCCTCTATAAATGGGTGCTACTGAGGAGCCAAATACTAGGATGAGACAGCTGTCCAGTGATACCTGGTTTTAAAGAGTTTTCCAAGTCATGTCGATTAGTAATCTCAATACTGAAATGTTCGACGAACCATCAACAAATAGACAAGATTTAACCATACATATAAATGCATAACTATTAATTACTCTGGAGTACGGATATATTCTACGAAGTTATGCCTTTTTACGGACATCTCTAATTAAAAATGTTCACTAAAACGATCAAATCATAGATATGAAAATGTAGAAACTCACCGCTATTTTGAGCTCTGTGTATGACTTCGGTGCCATCCAAGTTGGTTAGAAGAACCTCATTCCATGGACCATTCTCAGGAGGGCCCAAAGGAAGAGTAACATAAAATTCTTGTCTGTCGACAATAGGCCAACCCCATTCTTTCCAGCTCCTTTCTATGAAGTCTACAATATTGATATTTTAGACAATAAATAAATCGAACTGTAACACCAGAAATAAATACCAATCAATTTACAATCGTGACCTAGAAACCAAGTGCATAATTACGTGAGGGTGACACTAACAGCCTGTTCAAATTAAAGTAGGTGGAGAGAGGTTTAAAGGCAAGTACCGATGACTATGTGACATTATAGTGAGTTAAAAGAAAGCTCTAGGGTACCAAGCAAAGATAGTATCAATCCACGAAATCGTTGACCGTTGATTTATGTCACGTTGGCAAGTGTAGGCTACTAAATCGATTTCCATCCGATAAACATAACATGTAGCTGGAAACCTTGTGATATGACACGATTTATTTAAACATATAAACAATGGTATAAAAGGCATCAAATACATATGCGCCACGCAAATCATCCGATGTGTGAGGGCTAGAATACTACGCAGGCGCCCGAACCGAAACAGGTAGTTTTCTTAGGGAGCCACACCCTGAGCCTTTGACCTACGGGAGATGCAGTCCCATGGTAGCCAGTGACCAATAATTGTTTCATACGCCGCTTGTTCCCTCAGGATCTTGGAGTCCAAATGGATCATTGGTTTGGAACCAGGGTTTCTCAACTCCCCTAGGTGGATCCTTCATATCCACCGACCCGAATAAAGCTCCGAACATTTGCTTTTCGTCCTCTCAATTTCGTAAACAACACCCACACTGAGAGAGGATAGTGGATAGGGCTTTTCTGGCAGTAGCTGTATACGCGTTGTCATGTAAGAGCATTTCGAGGAGAGGTGATTTCCCCCATCCTCGACCGTAGAGGGGGGCACGAAATCAGTCACAGTGGCTCAGATGAACTTTTAGCTAGGAATTGAATCAGTAATACAATTTATGAGTAGATAAGAGAAACGAACTTTATGCTCCGATAACAAATGGAAATTACAAATAGTTAGGTGTATAGTTGCAGCTACGATATGCTCCCCATAAGAACCACCCGTAAACTTGTCTCTTTATCTACAGATTTAATTTAAATTAGGACGCATACATGTGTAAGTTCCCCTAACGTACTTCAAACAAACATGAGAATTTCAACAATGTCTAAATACTTATTATAATTTTGTAGCCATATGACATTACTAAATCCAAGTGTCTCAATACACGAAGCGATGAACAAAAATTACTAGTATGAGCCAGCTTAATTAATAAGTGTAAAAACATAGTGGCCTGAAAAAAATTCAAAAAATGCAGTAAAATGTATTTACTTGCTATCTCGTAATTTCCTTTGCTGCCAGAACAGTGAGGGTTGCCACCGCATAATTTATGCATGTATTCCAATAAAAAAGTATCCGACACATTTCTACACAAATTTTGTGATATTTCTTGCCACATTATATACGAGGAAAACCCGTGTTCACTTATCTTTTGTTTTATTGGTTCCAAAAGGGTAAAAAAAGAACGATGATTCAATACTTTTATACTCATACGATGGAATATTGGCAAATTAATAAACGCAAACTACTTAATAACCAATATTACATCCAAACTAAACTAAAATATTGAGCCTAAAATATTTATTTAGGTGAACTGAAAATAGTAGGAACGTACAGGTAAACCACTTATTGTCCGTATGGCTAGCAATATTATTAAACAGGTGATTGATTCACGCTGACAAAATTAGATGACAACAGGATGACTTTGATGTTGTTTGTTACCTACTCTCAAAGTTGGCTGAAATTATACGCCCTCAGACTTAAATAAAATCAGATCGTTTGCTTCTAAAACTCGATAGCCTCCAACCCAAATAAAAAAGGCTCGAATATTTCATCATGATTTATCACTACAACATAAAGCTAAACTGCACATAGGAAAATCAGTACCCAAATCTTATTGTAAATATCTTTACCACACGAACACTTACACTATCCGGCAAAATTAATAAAAAAAATATATAGTAAGACCGTGTTATAGATAGCGCATTGACAAAACCCATATATCTTTTATGAAAATACTGTAAAGTTTAGAGGGGACGAAGGCGGTAATGTAGCGTTGGTCGAATTTATTACCTGTCTTGAAGAATTTATATCTCCGCAAAAGTCTGTGTGGAGGTGAAATTTTGTCAAAGTCTAACAATATGTTCTCAAAGTCCAACTTTACTTAAGATTAATTTACAACCTATTAAACGGCATTTCCCATTCTGCAAATTATTACCAAACACCTTCAATCCACTATATTAAAATGAAAAAATATGACTAATGTAGGAATAGTTTATTAGAAAGTGTGTACTTTCCCGTTTTGATGTTAAGGACTACGTTTGATTAATTTCTGCTGACATATGTAGATATTAAAAGAACCCCTCGATATTACTAAATGTTAAACCTTTCCGTATATTTTTTTGGATATTAGCTAGCATTATAATCCAAAACTTGCTACCTTCTACTTGAGACTGGACAGTAATTGAATCCCAAAGTTGATGTAACCACAACTACCTGGTCAGGGTTCATATATATCAGTCAGGACGACTAGGTGTAATCCTGAATATTAACAACCTAATACTTGTGGGACAATTTAGAAGTTATCAGAACTCAGTTGCATACTTAATGAACTGCTGATGCTTGAAGTGATATGCAACGGGGTCCAGTGCAAACACGAACAGTATCGGAGTCCTGGTACGTCCAAATGTTGAGCACCAAGAAGGAGGACATTTGTTCTGAATCCTAGCGTAAGAAACTAACTAAAAATAAGGCAATATCTACCGACTTAATGTTTACGTTTAACCACAGGCAAGATATTTTACCTTGCAGTCCAAATGCCCTGGTACGGTCGAGGATGGGGGAAATCACCTCTCCTCGAAATGCTCTTACATGACAACGCGTATACAGCTACTGCCAGAAAAGCCCTATCCACTATCCTCTCTCAGTGTGGGTGTTGTTTACGAAATTGAGAGGACGAAAAGCAAATGTTCGGAGCTTTATTCGGGTCGGTGGATATGAAGGATCCACCTAGGGGAGTTGAGAAACCCTGGTTCCAAACCAATGATCCATTTGGACTCCAAGATCCTGAGGGAACAAGCGGCGTATGAAACAACTATTGGTCACTGGCTACCATGGGACTGCATCTCCCGTAGGTCAAAGGCTCAGGGTGTGGCTCCCTAAGAAAACTACCTGTTTCGGTTCGGGCGCCCGGGTAGTATTCTAGCCCTCACATATCGGATGATTCGCGTGGCGCCTTTCATATTGATATTTATGTTTAAATAGCAATAATAATGCTAACGATGACTAATAAAATCAACAGTATCTCACAATAGATGAATTTGCTCAATGTGTCATAAGATTGTGGGGAAATATTGGGGAAAACGAGAAATCTTAGAGAATTTCCCCAGATCTGGGAAGATTTTGTGCCATATCCCCACCTTTTTGCAAAGCGACTTTGCAAAAATAGGTGACACGTAAAATTACTATAATTACACTACTTTTTTAAAGACAATTGGCCGACCCGGGTATTTCTAACATCTACAAGTAGATAGCCTGAAGGTCACTTTCAAATCGTTCTACGTGAGAACTGTTCGAATACTATTGGACGAAACATCTAATACTTTTGTGACAACCTGGCATTGAATGACTGATTTTCTGTAGTTTCATTTTTCACTGTTTCCGGGAAACGGATGATTGAAATACAGAAAAGCCTAATTAGCTCAGTGATGAAGTCTCGGACTACAAGGCTGGATGGTGCGTGGTCGATTCTCTTGGAGATCATTAGTTTCCTGAATATTTCAATACCTTCTTGTTGTTTAGTCGCCACTAACATGAAAAATCTCGGACCCCATACATCGTTTTTTCTGCTTAATAAAATAAGACAATTCAGAGTACATAACAAGTGAGTTCAAAAGCCTAGAATAAATAAATTGCCCATGGAATAAAAGCTTTCACACTGATTAATCAAATTTTGGTACATATAAGGGATGCAGGTAATATGAGCGCGTCGCTGTGTAGCCGACCCACGACGTGAGACAGATCATCCTGACTTGGTTATCCTCTACCCTGTTGATGTTTAATATACAGTTCTATGTCCACTGATCTGTTAACGAATGAATAAACAGTTAAGATACAACAAGTATTCGGAGTTCGACAACGCCTTCACCAGTAACACCTTTTTAATCGAAGTAGACCAACTTAGTTCAATCATAAGTCTGAAGCGAGGGGGTTCGAAGATATATTTGAAAGGCTATCGATATCTCAAGAAGCGTTTGATCGAGGCTGGCTGATGGTTGTACGATATGCATACCACTGTGTATCTGTTCGCGATCTGATGCGGATGCGTGACCAAGTGCTTTCAGCTAGGTAAGTCCAGCAAAACTACTGTGGTTAGCATCAAATGTGGAGGACTTACAAAACTATTTATTTTAGTAATTTATTTACCGCTAAAACAGTTTGGCTTGACGAAACAAGAAGTACTGACAGAATTAAAGTCCCATCTTTCATTGGAGTGAAATAAACCATGTCAAAACCTGATGGATGCTTTTACAGACAATCTTGCATAACAATGACGTAAAGTACACAACCTTACCAATGTAGGAAGAGAACGCTTATTTAAATTTGTGGCCCAGATATCAAAGAGCGTCTGGATTCAGTGTTAACATTAAGGGTCAGCAGTTATTTTATTGTTTCCGACAACCGTGTAACAATCTTGTTTCACTCATCTGTTTTGGTCATTTTCCGATTAGTTGCAAGGGGTTGTAGCATGGCGTCGATTTGAGATTAACTATGAACACCGCTACCAAGAAACACGTGTCAAGTAAATCAGAAGGCGAAGGTTGAACGTAACCAAATAAATCCATAAAATCCCCGAGAAGCCAAGTATCAGAAGGCAGTTAAATGACCAAGTCCAGATATATTTGCTGGCGATCTCGTGGTATCGAAAGGATACCGAGATCGTGCCAGGGTACAAGCTTGGTTACAGAACGTAACCGAATTCGCGCGAAGTCACAATCAAAGTGTGAGAATAAGAATGGAAGCACAATATAGCTGTCATTAGCACAGTCAAACAAAAGCACATTAAAACAAACACTGGTACAGTTGGTTATAATAACAATTGTTTCTATTAAACCAGTCGTGTTCTCGTGATAAATAAGAGTCACTACTGGGTTATAACCCCACGGTTGTTTGGCTGCATACTTTACCTCTAATAATAAAGAAACAAACTGTTCTTTCTGTCTCTCATTTCAAATGCAGAACATCCATACATAGGGTTTTACCCTATAAGTAATAGTGGGGTTGTAGGTCATTCAGTAGATTTCCAGACAGAATATTCAGGCCGCTGTTTACAATATTGAGGTCAGATGGTGAGTCGAACTATGCTGCTGATGCTCTGCCATGTATCCAAGTGAATGTAGTTACTTAACCGACGCTTCATCTCCCTACTATGGCTGTCGCTCAAGCAAGCGATCCCTCCTGTACAGCAGCACAACATTCCACATCCCTTTAGTGCCGGGAAGTACCTCTAGCTACTAGTTCAGGTACTACTCTGTGTGATACTTCTACTTGTCTTCCCAGACCCATCGTACCCTCTGCTTACCGTTGTCTCGTCTTCGATGCCTTGCATGGACTGTTTCATCCAGGTATCGCAGCCACATTGCGCTTCATCGCTGCACGATACGTCTGGACGTCTGTGAATTAAGATGCCATATGTGAGTAAAGTAATGCTTACAATGTCAACGATCAAAAGTGCACAGGTGTGTAACTTCCCTCATTGTCAACAGTCTTACGAAGGACCTTTTCACGTGATTTCTCGTCACGAAAAGACCTTAAAGGTTGATCGACATGGCCGAGTCGAGATCGTCAGCATTGATCGTCTCAAACCAGCAAACGTCGATGGCAGTGCCCTACCTGATAGATTGAGACCCAATGCTAGACCCATCAAACCTACTAGCGGGATCGTTACATCTACTTCGGACCCCGCACTAGATAAATCAGGGACTTCATTCTCATGCCACGGTCAACAGCACGTGTCATCTGCACCGCCTGCTGACGAGACTTTAGTCCCACTTCCAGATCAGTAGACCACGACGCCCTTGACTTCGGATGAGATTGCAGGCTGACGAGGTACGAAGGAGACTTGTGGTGGTCGGTATCCGATGTAATCCTTAACTTTGTATAGAGTTCGTCTTGATAACCGTTTTATATAATGCCCAAACGGTATATTAATCAGAAGGCAAATACGAAGCGCTGGTTACGTTTATTACGAGACCACACATATATATCCAAATATACAGATGCGTTAAACAAGCATAGAAGAGTTGTGCCGAAAGGCAAGCAAGCGAGCGAGAGCAAGAGCAAGAGCGAGACGAGAGTGTGTGTGTTTAATATGAATAACATGGACATGTATATACCTAGTGAAATGAATGGGTAGTCGAATCAAATAAGCGGTTAGTAGTAAGATCAGCAGAGTGGATAAATGCGTAGGCAGTAAGCAATATTCAAGCATACGTATTTCATACAAGCACAAAATAATAAGGGTACAATAAGTTGTTATGGTGCGGATGACTTTGTCCGCTAAATGAGTTAGCAAAAGAGCTTAACTGAGTTTGTTATATCCGAGTGGAGATTAAATCACAGGTAACTCCCGAGGACTATTCATGGACTAATATTCTATAAATATTCTTATTGTATAACTACTCGACAATTACACTATGTATATTTATATCCCCCTTATGACAAGCTTTATTTTGATCTATAATTTATTATTGTACGATTTACGGTTCTTAAGTTATGTTCAGTTTATTAACTACTGCCTCCCACATTCACAGCCACTTTTTGGGCTTATTTGTGTACAAATATTATTTCCTATTTTATGGTACGTTGCGGTCTGTATGATTGATATATAAACCAAGTATGCCTGAAATAAACGATCTGCTCTGATTCGGAAGCTGGTATCTTGTTCTGGACTCAAGTGGAAGGGCTCGTAGGACGTAGGACCAATAAGGACGCTAAACTGCCCACACCGGTTGAACGTCATTGGTTGGCCTAGTGTGAAGATTCGTATAAGTCGTATTCGGATTGGTAGATAAATCGTGTGATCGAAAAGTCAGACATCCAAGGCCATAACAATTGGCGACGGGGTGGAGAAAAGTTTTGAACCCTCAACTTCAAGTCATAACAGAGTTAAATGAACTAAACTCAATTGCACGTGAGTCGCTATAGACTACTGTCTCTCGTTTCGGTCGCCGAGTACGCTCACCCGTACGCTTTCGCGGCTAACCTCTCAATCAACAACAGATACGGTATAGGACTCTATCCATATGCCACATGCATGCCACACCTTTCTCTATTTATTTGATTTTTGATTCTGAGCCCACGCTCTCGACCATCGCCCTGTTGGTATCATCGACTCCAGTCAGTTTTGGTGAAAGCTGGCCTGGTCACTCATGCTCTTGTCAACTCACTCAGTCGATGTTCTGGTTCCAAATATGTCTGGCATACGCATGGTCTCCAGCTTGGTTGTTATGGTCGCTTCTGGCTTCTTTGCTCAACGTGGTTCCGTCCTACGTCTGCAGAGCTGTCTGTTTCTGACCCCTACGAACGCAATCCTCAGATTCTAGATAAAAACCACTCTAGTGTGGTACGCTAACTTGGGCAACAAATACAGCATGTTATTTCTAGTATCGTCCCACATAAAAGACCTTCGGTGACAACTCGAGAATCAACGATCGATTCCTATTTTGCCAACCCTTTCATCCTACCATCGCACGTTTGCCGATTAATACCATGAACGAAATCGCTACTTATAGAAAGTGTAAACCCTTTCTAGCGGGGGGCCTCTGCAGTGACCTATTTTTATAAAGAGAACGCGATTGGTGTGATAGAAACAATTACTATTATAACCAACTGTACCAGTGATTGTTTCACTGTACCCGCTTGTTTAAGCGTACCAAAAACGACTCTCTTCCGTTGTTTGTGACCTTGCACGAATTCTCATACGCTCAGCAGTGTCGCTTGTAGACTTCGGCACGATCTCGTTATTATTTCTATATCACGACATCGCCAACAAAAACACTTTAACTACAACCTCCAACTGTTTTCTGATATTTGGCCTACGGAGGGGTCCAACCTGTAACTGACACGTAGTCTTCCTGTAATGGTGATCATAGTCAACCGGGACTCGACGCCTACTACAGATGCAAACTAGCTTTCTTATCACCCGACTAGACATTACAAGCTACACGAAACCGTATCGTAACGACAAGAGGCGAGCACAAAAAGATCATTCGGTGTATGCAATCTCTTCAAAAAGATATCAAATATCAAAACCTTGGATTTATTAAATAAACGATACATTCCCGTTGGGACTGAACATAAAGGCTGGGTAAACCTTATGTATTACGGGTATTTTGTTAACACTGCTGGGACAAAGTAAATTAGACTGACTGTGATTTCGCATTAATTGGTGGTTCCTTTGTACGTGAGGTGGGACCCTAACTTATGGACGACCTTTGAGAGACGCTAAGGTGCCCTTGAGAGTGAATTTCGCGCGAAAATCCAAGACCTGTTGGCTTGTAG